TTAGATTAGATTCACACCGCAGCGAAGTGACTGCTGCTGCTTTTAATGAGCCAGCGATAACAGTGGGACTGCGACTACAAACTAATTATGGATGCAAGTCATTTAAAACAGAAAGAAAGAGCAAGTGAGATGAGAAGGAAGGGCGGACAAGGCAGAAGAAGAATCCATGGATAAAAATGAAACCTGACACATTATTATTCAAATCACCTGTAGAGAGAGAGAGAGAGAGTTAGAGACAGACAGAGAGAGAGAGGGAAACTTCAGAGGCGAGGAAGAGCAGTGGAGAAATTAAATCCTCCACTTCAAATGAGCGTGTAAATGAACCACACACAGCTTTGCATGATAGAAAATAGACCCACTAGGCTGCTTACACACACACACACACACATCTCTGTATGTCCAATGGCAATGTAGCATGAGGAAAGGAAAAAGTGCTTTAGCCTACAAATTCTAACTTACCCACAACCACAAGTCAACAATCATAATACATCCCACACACAATATTACACAAAATACATATTTTAGGAGAAGTACAGCATCTGAGGTGAAGTTGGTGCTTTAATGGTCTGCATTTAAGTCACAGACCTGCAAAACCACACTTCGTTGCTTTCATCCATGAAAGCAATGAAGTGTGGTTTTGCAGGCAAAATAAAGTGTCTTAACTACAGTCATATCATAACTTGTTGAAACTATAATTATAAAAAAACAATGGCGAAGAGTAGCATTCAACAAAATATTATGCTGCACACTTATTGTAATAAAATTAATGTTATTTTTCATACACTAAAAGATGTAAATCGCTTGTTTTGAATCAAATGATTTATATGAACCAACAATGAACAAATCGATTCACTAAAATGAATCAGACTTCCCAAAACTTCATATGTGAGAGATTTAACATTTTAGTACAGCACAGTCTAGTTTGCTGTATGGGCTGCAAAACGATTAATCGCAATTAATTGCATTCAAAATAAAAGTTTTTGTTTACATACTATATATGTGTGTGTACTGTGCATATTTATTACGTATATATAAATACACACACATATATGTATATATATATATATTTTTATATTTGTATGTATATATATATATATATATTTATACTTGTAAATAATTTATATTATAAATATACATACTTTATATATAAATCTAACATATTTTTCCTTAATATATACATGCATGTGTGTGTCTTTATATATACATAATAAATATACACAGTACACACACATATAGTATGTAAAAAAACTTTTATTCTGAATGGGATTAATCGCGATTAATCGTTTTGCAGCCCTAGTTTGCTTGGCTGTTAAGTTGCTATTCATCACGCAATCCACCTTATTTTTCAACGCGGAAGTAAGCCGTTTTCTGAGAACGTGCGAGATGTCCGGTTCATTAGCCGGGGTAGGGTAATAACGAGAAGAATAACAAAGTGCAGTAAATGGTGACACACCAGTTTGCAATATCAAGCAGCAAAACGAGCAGTTTTATGCAGCTAAAATAGCTGGAAGCGAATGACAACGGAAGCTAGACCCATAAAATTTACAAATGGCCTCACCCGCTCTTACAGGAAAAATAAGGTGGATATAATACGTCAGAAAACAGCAACGTAAGATTTTGTCATGCGCCATGCTAATGGTTAAAAAAGTGGCCCAATAATTCACCATATATTTCAGCATTGAAGTAGGCCATTTTCTGTAAATGTGCCATACAATTAATTTGCCACCATAGGTAATTAACAAAAAAGAATTAGAAGCGCAGTAAATGGTAAAACTATTTGTTATTGTCTTCCGCCAAAATAGTTTTCCACCATTTTGGAGAGTGCCCCAGAACGTAAATGTGATCAGCGTTGTTTATGTTCAGCATGCATGTGCTGTCTACTGAACTATTAAAATTACCGTTGAACCCCTGATGTCACATGGACTATTTTACCGATGTCCTTGCTACATTTCTGTGCGTTGATCGTGGTAAGACCCTTGCTGTCTATGGAGGGTCAGAGAGCTCTCAGATTCCATCAAAAATATCTTAATTTGTGTTCCGAAGATGAACGAAGGTCTAACAAGTTTGGAACGACACAAGGGTGAGTAATTAATGACAGAATTTTCATTTTTGGGTGAACTATCCCTTTAAAAACAAGGTGGATAAAGCTACGGCTGGACAAACGTGTACAAATACTGTTATGCTCAGTACTGAAAACGTAGCTACTGTAAATTACTTTTCCAAATTTTCATTAGCGCAACTATGTTTTGCTACTTGCTATTCCTGATCAGTTTAAGGGTGCTTTCATTCTAGAAAGCATTTAATTGGACAAAAATGTAAGACTGTGTCTTTATATATCTTCAGTCTAGAAGAGAAACATTATCATTTCCAAATGCTTCAAAGTTAAAAGTTTATTTTGCCAACTTTTAGCAGTGCACTAGCATACAGATGTCCTCAAAACGAACAGGCACGAAAGCCACCAAAAGGACATTTTGATTTCATGCACTCTTTAAATCTCCTGCGCTATGAAGCAACCTCAGAGCAATAAAACTTCCCTCGGTGTACTTATAATCACTTTATTTGTACAGAGCATACATATAGAGTGTATTTTATGTGCTCACCCGAGCACATAAAATACAAAAAGACAAACCGCCTGTTCTCGATGAGTGATGATGCTCAAAGGTCAGTGGAAAAGAAAAGCAAACAAGAACTGAAAGTAAAGGATAAAAAGTTGACCAATTCTCTGCAATCTAATCCTTCTTATCCATGAGGTACATTCCTCCAGGGAATGTTCAGCGGTGGTAAATGAAAGAGCAGTATTCCCTACTTTTTTGGAAGAGGGGAAAACATTAATAGTCAGCGGAGGGCCGGTGTTTGACCCGTACAAACATGGCAGTGGCTTATCTCATCCCCTGGGCTTCACTCTGGTCCTCTCCTACTTAGTGAGGCTGTTAAAGCCTATTCTGCCGAGAGCAAATAATTGCTGTGTATATGCACTGTGAACAATATTTTGAAACTGAAGTGAATTTGTACGGACCTATTCAATTCAGGAAAAATTCCAAAAGAAAACAGCACACCTATCACTGCTAACAGTATCTATACAACACTGGAATGCACTTTCTTTACCTGGCAAACTCGAATCTGATTGTTTATCAGATTTATCTGGCAAACTTGAATCTTTGCTGCTACTGGCATCTTCCAAGAGTGTTATACACACACACACACATTCAGATTTCCCACACAAACACACAACCCAGGCTTCATTGGAAAAAAATGTGCCTGGGGTGATATTTCTGAAAAATAATACTAGGTTGCTTCTGGCATGTTTCATGACACTTTCAAAGTGAAATTTCCAGTGAGTGGCGCCAAAAGTGCTTTCTCTCTGATAAATCTGGCAATTTTATTATGCTGGTTGTTGTATGCATCACGGCAGTTTTTAAATGAAATGTCCAGTGCCACTAAAAATGTAATGCTCTATCACGTTTGAATATAAAGTACCACCTACAATAAACCTGACCCTAAACCTAACTGATGAAACAGCAAACTTAAGATAAAAACACATTTGCTGTTGCAAACACGGCATTTTAGCTTGCTTCTTCAAGTCTTTCAGCTGTTTTATTATAACTCGTGTTTCACAGGACTCGCAAAGCACTCAACATCTCAAGGGCAATGCTGTATCAGCTTAGTCTCAGCATCAGACGCCCTTGGCTAAATGTCTGATGCATATGGGACACAAAGGTGGAAACACTTCAGGAGTGTCGAAGTCGTCATCGGAAGAAGAAAGCCGTCGTGTTTACAACTGTGACAACCAGCGCTTATCAGGATCAACTAAACGCTGGAGTTTCAAAAGTATGTGAAATACTTTAGAATACTTTAAAGATAGAATCTTTAAAATACGTCCGAGACCGGTCTGTTATTGTGGTGACATTTCCACGCCCCGAAACGTGACAATGAACGAAACGAACTGTGATTGGTTGTTTGACATGTCGGTAAAACGACCTCATGTTGAGTGAGTGCTTGAGATGTTGAGTGCTTTGCGAGTCCTGTGAAACACGAGTTATAATAAAACAGCTGAAAGACTTGAAGAAGCAAGCTAAAATGCCTTGGCCAATGAAAGCTGCCATGGATTCCACACCTTCAGCTGTCAGTCTGAAGGTCTGGCTACGTGAGACTAGTATCAGGTGCACTACAGAGCAAGTTTACTATGTCAGAAAAGCCATACATATGGAGCTGGTTATATGATGCAAACATAAAAAATATTAGTTTGCCAATCGTAAAAGTGTTTTGAGGACATAGCATAGTACAAGTATGCTGTACATGTCTTGAAAAGTGAAGCCAGAATATTTCGATCGCCCCCCGGGGGACTGGATGCAGTATAGGTCATAAACCCTGCTCTCTCCATGTAATCTATTACTGCCACAAATGTTCATTTCAGATTAAAAACAATAGTCAATTAGATGTATAGGTGTGTTTTTGGAGTTTTAACAAAATGCAAGTAAACGCATTTTTTCAATGTGTATTTGTAGCTAAAAAGTGCTTACAACTCGAAATCCACTTAAACTTTTAGGCACACTTACAAAAACACCATTTTACAAACTGAGTTGAGTAATACAGCGTTTCTCACAAAATGTATGAGAGTAGTGTGCTCGCCCTCACATGGATCAAAAAATGGGTTTTACATCCATATGTCATATTCTTCAACATTGATAATTCATACGGATTAGATATATTCTCACAAAACAAAGCTAGAAGGACACAGAGCCATCATCTCCTGAATGTTTATGTAAGACTACAGTCAGACAGACATTTCTTTAATATAACTGATAGTGTCTGTTTTGGACACATAAACAGGGGAAAGAATGTGGTGTTTGGACAGACTTGCATTTTTTTCTTATCTCTCTCACACACACACACACACACACACTTTTTGACCTGAGCAGACAGACATTAGCCCTCCACACCAGCAGAACTACTGCCAACCAGACAGACGGGCATGATAAGAGATAAGATAAGATACTCACAGCTGTCCTCCTCCTCTGTGATGACACTGATGACGTAGCAGGCGTAGATGAAACCCAGCAGCTGAGGAGACAAACACAAACACGTCAGTGTATCGACAGAGACTGACAGCACAAAGAGCGTAAAAGACAGACAGGCTGACATCAGACTCGGTCAGATCTTCTGAACCGTCTTTTCACCTTTCACTTTCGACTCATGTCTTCACCTTACGTCAGTACATCATTATTCTGTGATTGTGATTGCCTGGACAAAAATATCCTGTGATTCTAGGGTGATGTGGGTGGTCGCCAGGGTGTTGCCATGCAGTTGCTATGGTGTTCCGAGCGCTTATCACGTTGGTATTTAATTTACTTCATGTTTTGGGTGGTTGCTTGGACATTATTAGGTTGCTAGGATGTTGCTTACAGTTGGTAGGCATTCTGAGTCGTCTAAGTGGTTACTAGGGTATTTTGAGTAATTGTTAAGGCGTTTCTCTGTCGTTGCTAATGCTAAGTGTCCTGAGTCGATTTCAGCATTCTTTCATATGATTGCGATGGTAATCTAAGTGATTGTTAAAGCATTGTTATGTGGTTGCTAGGTGTCATGAGTGTTTTAGCATGCTTTTGTATGGTTGCTAAGGTAGTCTGGGTGATTGCTAGGGGGTTGATATAAAGTTGGTAGGTGTTCTGAGTGATTGTTATGACGTTGCTATGGAGTTGCTAGGTGTGCTAGGGCGTTGTTATGGAGTTGTTAGGTGTTCTGAGAGATTGCTAGGGTGTTGCTATGGAGTTGCTTGGTGTTCTGGGTGTTTTTAGTTTGCTGCTTTACGGAGTTGCTAGGTGTTGTCAGTGATTGTTAGGGTGTTGCTATGGAGTTGCAAGGTGTGCTAGGTGGTTGCTATGGTTCTGAGTGATTGCTAGGGCGTTGCTATGGAGTTGCTAGGTGTTCCGAGTGATTACTAGAAGGTTGCTATGGCGTTGCTAGGTGTTATGAGTGATTGCTAGGGCATTACTATGGAGTTGCTAGGTGCTCTGGGTGTTTTAAGTGTGCTGCTTTATGGAGTTGCTAGGTGTTGTCACTGATTGATAGGGCGTTGCTATGGAGTTGTTAGGTGTTCTGAGGGATTGCTAGGGCGCTGCTATGGAGTTGCTAGGCGCGCTGAGTGATTGCTAGGCCGTTGCTATGGAGCTGTTAGGTGTTCTGAGGGATTACTAGGGCAATGCTATTGAGTTGCTAGGTGTGTTAGGGTGTTTCTATGGAGTTGCTAGGTGTTCTGGGTGTTTTAGTGTGCTGCTTTATGGAGTTGCTAGGTGTTGTAAGTGATTCCTAGGGCGTTGCTATGGAGTCGCTAGGTATTTTGAGTGATTGTTAGGATGCTGCTATGGAGTTGCTGGGTGTTTTGAGTGATTTCTAGGGCGTTGCTATGGAGTTGTTAGGTGTTCTGAGGGATTGCTATGGCGTTGCTATGGAGTTGTTAGGTGTTCTGAGGGATTACTAGGGCAATGCTATTGAGTTGCTAGGTGTGTTAGGGTGTTTCTATGGAGTTGCTGGGTGTTCTGGGTGTTTTAGTGTGCTGCTTTATGGAGTTGCTGGGTGTTTTGAATGATTTCTAGGGCGTTGCTATGGAGTTTCTAGATGTTCTGAGTGATTGCTAGGGTGTTGCTATGGAGTTGCTAGGTGTTCTGAGTATTTTTAAAATGCTGTTATATGGTTGCTAAGGCACTCTTATGTGGATGCTAGGGTGCAGTGAGTGGCCACTAGGGTGTTGTTATGTGTTCTGGGTGTCTGCTTTATGGTTGCTAGGGTATTCTGGGTAATTACTAGAGCGTTGCTTACTGGCCCAAGTCCAAAGACCCAAACCCTATGAAGGAGATCATGTTTCTACAGGTTTACTGTATATTGTCCAACAAGTTAAGAATTGATTGTGATGTATATGTACTGTATATGTATATGTATATGTATATGCAAATGAAAATTATTTGATGCATCATTCATGTGTGGGATTAGTTACTCACCAAAGTTTAATACTCAGCACTAGGGGTTTGTTGAAATCCCTAACCATAAGTGTGTGCAGCAGGAATGGCAGGCACATCTAATAAACCATTCATTATGAGAAACACATGGTCGATAATACATTACTCAAAGAGACGTTAGAGAGAGTTTAACAAAGTCCTGTGCCAAGTGAACAGGGTACGGGTGTGTGTGTGTGTGGATGACAGGCATATTGACGGGTATGGCAGTGCCACAGAGGCAGATGGCACAGCTCTGCTTGAAAACACACACAGGGCAAACTCAAGTCCCAGAGAGTGGCACTATTCCAAACCAATTAATCTGTTATTGGGCAGACTGCCCGCGTACACCTACCCCGAGAAAAAAACCCCCGAATGCTGTGTGTTTGCATATGAACTAGAGAGAGAGAGAGAGAAATAGATACTGAAAAAAACGTAGATGCCTAAATGAGAGTCTATGAGGCCCGTGAGAGGCTGTGATACTGTATATTGTCCAACAAGTTAAGAATTGATTGTGATGTATATGTACTGTATATGTATATGTATATGTATATGCAAATGAAAATTATTTGATGCATCATTCATGTGTGGGATTAGTTACTCACCAAAGTTTAATACTCAGCACTAGGGGTTTGTTGAAATCCCTAACCATAAGTGTGTGCAGCAGGAATGGCAGGCACATCTAATAAACCATTCATTATGAGAAACACATGGTCGATAATACATTACTCAAAGAGACGTTAGAGAGAGTTTAACAAAGTCCTGTGCCAAGTGAACAGGGTACGGGTGTGTGTGTGTGTGGATGACAGGCATATTGACGGGTATGGCAGTGCCACAGAGGCAGATGGCACAGCTCTGCTTGAAAACACACACAGGGCAAACTCAAGTCCCAGAGAGTGGCACTATTCCAAACCAATTAATCTGTTATTGGGCAGACTGCCCGCGTACACCTACCCCGAGAAAAAAAACCCCGAATGCTGTGTGTTTGCATATGAACTAGAGAGAGAGAGAGAGAGAAATAGATACTGAAAAAAACGTAGATGCCTAAATGAGAGTCTATGAGGCCCGTGAGAGGCTGTGACCGAGCGGCTGAACGCCACAGCGCAGGTGAGACACACAATTGCTGTGCAGTGCAAAGCGGTTCAGACCTCCAATCAGCTTCTATTACACTGAAGGAGTTGTGAAATACCAACTGCATCAGAGGAAATGTCAACAACCAGAATGCCAACTACAGAGCAGAGCTGACTTGATTAGTATGTTGTATTAACCTTGAATCTGTTGCTCCAGGTTGCCATGTGTAGGCTGAAGGCTGTGGAAGTCATTTTAAGCCAGTAATAAAACAGTAATATTGTGAAATTTACAATAAGTGTTTTCTATTTGAATATGTTTTTAAATGTAATTTATTCCTGTGATGCAAAGCTGAATTTTCAGCATCATTACTCCAGTCTTCAGTGTCACATGATCCTTCAAAAATCAGTATATGCTGATTTGCTGCTCAAGAAACATTTCTGATTATTATTATTGTTAAAAACAGTTTTGCTACTTATTATTTTTGTGGAAACAGTGATACAATTTTTCAGGATTCTTTGATTGATATAAAGTTTAAAAGAACAGCATTTATTTGAAATAAAAATGTTTTGTAACATTAAAAATAATACAACTTTGATCAATTTAATGCATCCTTGCTCAATAAAACTATTTATTTTAATTTTTAAAATCCCAAACATTTAAAAGGTACTGTATTTTTTATTCATTTTATTAATATGTATTGCTCAGAGCTCTGATCATTCTCTATTGTAATAATAACTGGCTCACTGTACATTATCACTTGTTCCGACTGAATCACACAGCAGAACAGGCTATTTATTATTCAGCTATAAATATTAAATCCTTTGTTGAGATCATGAGACAAATGTAACCCAAATGTAATAAATTCAAAACTAATTCTTGCTCAGGGCATCTCAGGCGAAGAGTGAAAAGATCTGCACCTGAGATCTGACCACTCTCAGCTCAGATCCAGTGCAACACTTGATATCATGTTAATTATGGTCATTAAAAAACATAAGCTATTTAAAAGTCAAGGTCTTAAAGCCAGAAACCTCTGTTTCAGGCCTTCCTCTGCTGATTTTCATAGTTTCTTTCTACTCTCTGGTGAAGTGGTACAAAGTGATGCAGATTTAACCTGTACTCTCTCCTCTGATATATAAAGCGGCAGAGCTGACAGGTTGGGTGAACGGTATTTCGGCTGTGTTTCATGGACTGATCATTCAGGTCAAAGGGTAAAGCTGCTGTAGAGAGACAAGGTTTCTGGGCCAGTGGCCTCCAACTCCCTCAGGGTGTTTCTCATGCCAGCTAATTCAGATTTCAATCTTTCAGCCTAGTCTCTATAATGCCTTTAATATGAATAGAATTCTCAAAATTGTTTTTGTAATCATTATGGAATCTGCCTTAAGAAATAATCCTCAAAACTCCTTAAAAATGCAATATAAAAGAAAATAAACTTGGTAAAATGTCTGTGGCTGCACATTTTTTTAGCCTGGGAATTCAGCTGATATCAAAGGCAAAGCTTAACTGCTCTTTAAAACAGTGCCGAACTTCAGAAAAAAAAGTGATATGATTTTGCAATTAAAGACTGTTTACACAAAACTGCTTCAATACTTAGTGTTTTTATATACTGAAATCCTTATTTTCAAGAATCTTAGACTTTCACTCTTCATTTTTTCTCAGGATGGCTATATCATCTTGAATTCTTTCAAAGAATAACCACAATATAAATTTGGAAACTGACTATTAATTGTCTCTAATTAAAATAGTTGCTTGTGATGAATCTTAGCTGTATATACTGCATTGGATGTGAATTATTTACAAGTTTCTGACCAATTATATGATTCAGAAAGACTCAGAGACGTTCTGTCTGTATGACTGCTCTATGCACACGACCTGGTTCTGTCATATAGCACTTCTGTCTGAATTTGTACAGTGTCCCAACTTTTTTGGAATTGGGTTTGTAAATAATGCTCGAGTTTGAGTTCCCCTGGAAATAAAATCTATATTAGGAAGAAATCACATCACAGG